ATAATCACAAACCATTCTTCCTCTCCGTATTTTTTAAATTATACTTAAATTATTTTGATCTGTCATTTGTTACTCTGACACTTCTTCTAGGTATTCTTCAAGGAAGTCGATTAAATGTAAATGCATACATACATACATCGCAAGCATGTAGGTACCGATAAGTGCAATGAGGTACGACTATGACGGTTTTTAATTAGAAAAAGAGCTGTGGAGAACAATTCAATTAATCTATATTTATTTTTATTTTATTTATTATACTAATGATTAGTTTTGTTTTTTATAAATACTCAGAATACAATATAAAATTCATAAAATATAATTTGACTGTTTATATGATTACCTTCATTTGTTGTCCATTACTTAAAAAACACGATAAATTATAATCATACAGTGGCAAATACATGCGTATAATTCAAAAGTGGACACTTTTAAATTCGCGATTAACAATACTATCAACGGGAAAGAGTTTTATTATTAATATTTACAATACATCAAACGGATATTCATAGTTTTCGACCGATTAATTAGCTTTTAAAATATTATGCTGGCAGCATGTACATTTTTGTTTGATCGCCTGGTAGGGAATTCACCATCTATCGCGTTGATTGCTAAAACAAAATTCTATACCAGTTATTCGTTGATATCGAACATTTATAATAGTTGATTTTCACGATCGCAAAATATATCGTTTCGAATATTAGAATTCACCTAAGAACCTACGAGAAATAATGGCGTAAGTCGAATGGATCGGAACTTAACCGAATACGAATTATTTAACTCGTTTAATTTATTGCACAGTTACCGGGCACACATTATGAGCAATCATTGCAAGGACATCACGAACCGTGGAACAAAGAGTGCTTGGTTCCTTAAATGTGTGGGATGCAACACTAGACGGATTTACTCATCGCATGTGTACAAGTGCACTGGTAAATAATTTTTCAATACCTTATGCGCTCACAGGGCCGTCGAGGCGCATTGGGACTATTTTGCCCCAGACCCCAAACTTTTGGTGACCACAACATCCATTGCTTTTGTTATTAACCCCATAATTACCCCTAGTTGCCACTATATAGGTATCACCAAACTCTACAACGGCCCTGTACACTCGAATGACATTATTACCGTTGCATTTTAAGATATTGTTAAAATAAATCATCGGCGTTTGTTGTTGTCTCATGAATATTTTTTCTCCCGGTGTTTTATAGTGTGTAAGGTGTCCATACACAAACGTTGTTGGGAATTCGGTCAGTGCTGCGCGATCAAGGCTGTAAACGAACGGTTGGCCACTATCGCCACTGAAGTTGAAGTCTCCGAGAACGCGGGACCATCTGCACGGATGATGGTGGACTTACGCGAAGTCTCGACAGAGACAATCATAATGCATTTGGTAGATAATTCAATGCAGACGGACGTATTCGACCAATTACACGTCTCAACTGAATCCGATGTGTTGGACCAGTGTCACACAACAACTCAGACTGAGATATTAGACAAGTCTCACGTGTCGACTGAGATCGATGTGTTCGACCAATGTCACACATCGACTCAGACCGAGGTGTTAGACCAGTTTCACGTGTCGACTGAGACCGTTGTGTTGGACCAGTGTCACGCATCGGTTCAGACCGAAATATTGGACTCGTGTGATGTGTCGACTGAGACCGATGTGTTTGACCAATGTCACGCATCGGCTCAGACCGAAAAATTGAACCCGTGTCATGTGTCAGCTCAGACCGATGTGCTGGATTTAGACCAGTGTCACGTGTCGAGCCAAACTGAACTTGGATATGATCCTTTACTGATCGTCAACAAAAGTGCAGTTTCTCCCGAAGATGTTCCGATATGCGAAAAAATCCACAGTGGACCGGTGATGGCATCAAACAGAAATGCTCATGAGTTATTGTCCTTTACAAATGGTGGACCAGAGGCTGGTGACACGGACGACGGAACAACCGTATTGAACGTAAACCGTATGAGTTCGAGGACAAAACTCACAAAAGAAATTATAATGACGGCCAAACAACGGATGCGGTATTAATGTTTTTATGATAATACTAAACAAATAACCGATAATAATATCAACGTGTGCACTCTCACCAGTAAAATCAAAGTAGAGAAGAACATCGCGTTGAAAGTGAACACGGATGCCGTATCTGCGCTACAAGAATTGTGTATTGCTCGATGGTGGAAAATACCGGAGTATCATTCGTGCGTTAAAATAGCTGATAACCATTTTCAAATAGAATGCTTTTTAAGAGGGTACATGGTCAAAGGTACGGTCAGCTTTCTATGTGTTTTCACTTTGGCGTTACGTGTAATCACAAATCGTTATGTAAAAATATGTACTTATACAGGCGAAGGATGGTCGAAAAAAGAGGCTAAACGTCAGGCAGCCTACAATATGTATACGGTCGTTAAAAATCAAGATTAGCTTCGTTGCATTGAAATTGAACGTGAGATAAGCGAGGATGTGATTTTTCGGCTGCATCCGAATTGGGTCCCGAATTATTTTAGGTACACTCAGAAAAATATCTTTCAATGTTTTAATGAAATGGAATCATTATTTTTAAGTTCAACAATTTACCTAGAATTAATACTGAATTATATTAAATTAATAAAATTTTCTTTAAAATAAATACATATTCAATACATTAATATCCATAATTTAAAGATGACTAAATCAAATTAACGAAAAAAAGAATGTTTGAAATAATGAAGTCTATAGATTCGTTTCAAGCATACATCCTACTTAAATGTAAAAAAAATATAATTAATTTAAAGAATAGTTTGATAGGTTTGAATACCTCTAAGGCCCTATGTTTTAATGATAATAAAACATTATTTCTAATAAATGTTTTATTCTAGATTAATACTAAATTTATGTAAAATAATGATTTTTCTTTCAACCAATAACCAAATATATCTTTAGTTTAATTAAATGAGTATTTATTTGTAAGCACTAGATTTGTCTTAAAATCAATACAATTGCGTCTAGTGATGGGAACAATCGAGAAAAAATAATCGAGTAACTCGATTATTTGAATGTATCGAGTAACTCGATTATTATAAAAATAATCGAATGAAAAATTAGTAATTACTAATTAGTAATTACTATTTTTATATTTACTAGTTTATATTTCAATCGAAACAGCGTTTGCCATCTGCACTATGACGAGTGGAGAATTTTATTATTTCGCGGCCCGCACCGTACTCGGTATATTCTACGAATATAAGTAAAAATAATTATCTATATATTTTCTATACATTTTCTATACTCAAGGGCGTAGCTAAGATTTGAATCAGGGGGGAGGGGCAAAAACATAAAGTGATTAGTGTTAAACTCGTAATTCAAATAATCTACAGATAGACTATTGGATAACACATAAAACGTCAAAACGATTGCACGTGTAGATAACACTCAATCCCACTAAACTAAACTATTTTTATACTTATATCTTTTTTAATTTTAACTTACAAGTTTGGTATAAACAATTATAATTCAGTTTGAGGCTTAGGGGTGGGCAAGTGGCTCCCCTGTCTCACCCTCGCTACGCCCATTTCTATACCTCTTCTGTTTCTGTACTATCTGGAATCGTTTAATAAATGCTTTCTATTATTATTTTATTTATATCTATTATGAATAATAATTTTAAATTTTGATCACATGGATAATTTGTTATTTCGGTATACTTTAATTTTATTTGTATGTTGTATGATACAACTTATATCGTATATTTTTTATCGTTAATTGTTCATTTTATACGTTAAAATCGTTATATATTAATCGTATTTACTATGTATTGGCCTATAGTAAGTAGTATGTTATAAAAATTAAATAATATAACTATCAATTTTCTCGAATAATTATAATAAATATTAAATATACAACCTAGTTTTTTATAAGTTTAAAATGCGACCTGGCAGTAAGCAGCGTTCCATGGTGTGAGAGCATTTCAAAAAAAATGTAGACAAAACTACAATTAGCTGTCAAATTTGTAAAAAAGATTTAAAATTTTACGGAAATACAACTAACTTAAAAGGTAAATATAAAATAATTATTAATTTTTTTTTATATTGAATAGTAGTAAATTTAATAGGAGTTATAAAATAGAAGTGTTTAAAAATATCGTAATCATCCTGATATAAATAAAATAATTTCTTATATTCCTTATATGTTCCTTTCTATTACATACGCACGTCTTAGTGGCGTGTTTAGGGGTGGGCCCGGTTGGCATGTGCCTACCCACATTTTCATATAAGTACTAGACTAGTGTAAGTCCGATGATCAATGAAAAATTAAAATATGATTTACAAATAGTTAGAAAAAAATTTGTGGCCCATCCACAACAAAAGTTCTGGACACGCCACTGCCACGTCCATGTAATTATATAATTAGTATATATTATTATATCGTTATTTATCTTATTTGTTTTTAAAAAGAGCACTTAAAACGGAAACATCCTACGGCACTTATTATTCCTGCTTCTACAACAGACGATCCTGATTCCGAATTGAATTCTATTGAGTCTATTAATAACTTATCAAATTTTCAATCTTCTTCAACAAATTCTAATTCACAAACTGAATATTCAACTTTAAATCAACCTTTAGTTAAACGTTCGCGTCAACTTAAATTATACGGTACAACAAAAAATAATGAACTAACTGTCGCAGAAAATAATGAAATTAACAAATGTGTAGTAAAAATGATTACCACCGATTATCAGCCCTTGTCAATAGTAGAAAATGTTGGCTTTTTAGAATATTCAAAACAATTGCAACCATTATACACTCCTCCAAGTGGAAAATTATTGACTACAAAACTGTTGCCTGATCAATACAATGTAATTTATTTAAAGCTAAAATATATGTTGGAAAACGTAAACTATGTATCAATCACTACAGATATGTGGACATCTGATTTTACTAGGTCGTACATTACTGTAACTTGCCATTTTATATTCAATGATTGTATTCTCCAGTTCTTGCTACTAAAGAAGTTATAGATAGCCATACCGGAAAAAACATTGCTTCGGCACTTTCAAACATATTTAATGAGTGGAATATAACAAATAAAATTATAACAATAGTTTCGGACAGTGGTGCAAATATAAAACATGCTATAAATGATCATTTACAAAAATATCACCACCCATGTGTAGCACATACCCTAAATTTAAGTGTGAATGAAGCCATTAATTAAAATACTGAGTTTCTCAGGGTGTTGAAAATATGTCGAACTATAGTAGGTCATTTTAAACACAGTAATCTTGCAGCAGAAAAATTGAAAGAATTTCAAAAACAAATGAGCCTCCCCGAGTTGAAAGTGAAACAAGATGTTATCACTCGGTGGAACTCAAGTTAAACTATGATAGAAAGGCTCATTCAAATTAAAAATCCTTTATCTGCTGCAATGTTATCACTTCCACGAGCTCCAAATTTCTTAACTGCAAACGAATGAGAAATGATTACAGATTGTGCTCCAATTTTAAAACCATTCGAATATATGACAACCGAATTATCCGGAGAAAAATACCCAACTTTATCTTTAGTAATACCACTTATAAGAGGACTTCAACATACGGTTAGAAACGTAAGACCAGAAACTGATGCCGGTATTTTACTAAAAAATAGTTTAGTAGCTATTGTCGCGAGGCGGTTAGGATCTCTAGAAAAAGATAAAATTGTCTCAAAATCAACTTTATTAGATCCTAAATTTAAAAAAACTGCATTTGGATTGACAGACAATGCCGATAATGCTGAGAAATGGTTAGTCGCAGAGCTTACATCAATTATTTCTTTTAATAATGACGCTGGTGATAATAATATTAATAATATAAGCGAAACACTAGCTTCCTCTTATTCTTTATGGGATCATTTTGATCAAAAAGTGACAGAAGTCAGAAGCGTCATATGCCCAAATGTTTCTGCAACATTAATGATGCGTCAGTACTTAGAGTTACCTCATTTGCATCGAGGAAAAAATAGTTTGGATTTTTGGAAACAGCACAAGATGACATTGCCCGAATTATACAAACTTCAATTACAATATCTCTGTATACCAGCGACTTCAGTTCCTTCTGAACGGATATTTTCGAAAGCTGGATTGCTAACAAATAATCGTCGAAATAGGCTGTCACCAAAAAATTTAAACTATATCATATTTTTAAACAGTAATTTAAATCTTATATCAATCACAATACCTACTCACGTTTAATTTTGATTTATCGTTATTTTAATTTTATATGCTTGATGGTTAGTTAAGACAAAGAATTGTCAGTTTTCTATTCACTTTATTTTCATGTGAATAGTACTTATTATTTTGTATTGTTTTATCTTGAAGCATTTTTCATAATTTATTAATAATTATTATTCATCAATTATCATTTAAATAAAGTTTTTTTAGGATAGTATTGTAATTAATAAATATATTACAGATAAGTATACTTGATTATACATTAAATCTTTTAAAATTATTTATTATTATTTTGTATTTTAACATACGTACAAAAAAAATAAATTGTCAGTTATTTTTTTTACATTATATTTTATTTTGTTTTATTATGAAGATTTTATTATATTTAAACATTGAAAAATACTAAAATAGTATGAATTTTAGTTCATAATGTTTATATGCATACCTACATTGATTAATGGTTATTGATAATCAAGCACGGTTATTTAGTATCTATTTATATCTCGATTACTATTTGCTCAATTATTTTAATCGAGTGAATTACTCGAATATCTCGATTACTATTCGCTCGATTATTTTAATCGAGTGAATTACTCGATTACTATAATATCTCGATTACTAATTTCTCGATTATCGAAATCACTCATTATTCCCATCACTACAAAAAATACTACTTAAGTGTTTATTTTTACATTTAAGTTAATATCCTAAAAATAAATTGAATAAACCAAGATTTTGGAGATTGAAAAAAAATTTTAAAAAATTTTTACACATAATAATTAAAAGGATTTTAAATCAAATTAATTTATAATTCAACAGCCAACAGGTCTATTTATATTGTCAATTCGTATACATTGCCATATTTGGTAATAATATTGATTATTTATAATAATAAATGACTATTATAGTACCTACTTTGCTTTCTTAGAATATTTGCGATAAGGAATCAGCATTCGACGAGCGATAGTCGTTTTTATACACACGATTTATTCTATATAATATACTATATATAGACATTGTTTAGTGTATTATTATGGATAATATATTAATTTATAATACTCCATTGGCCGTTACCCTTGAGTTATACTTTAAACCAATAATATACAATTAAATAACCTAAAATAGTTTTATTTTGTACTTTTGCAGTCGCTACATCCTACAACACTATTATGCTGATGATGTACTAAATTTTAAGAAATTATTATAATTTATGATAATAGACTAAAGAATTTATTAGTACGTACATATAGTATGTATATCATGGCTAAACAAGTATTAGTAATAATGAAACCAATCAGCCCCGGGGTTCTCAAAATGTCTAGCCGGCCCCGGCTCTTTGCAAACACTCATTGCTATTCCGGCGCATGTCCATCGTGCATCTAAACCTACACAAAGTTACTGCGACGCGAGATTAAAATTGCAATGTTGGCATTGCTCTTCAACGTTTCCGAAAAGTTGCCAGCTTATTTTCAAAGCTATTCTTTTTTTTTTTTCTTTTGTTTCTGAATATTAGGCGGGCACGCCATCGGTAATGTCTTCATAAAAAGTTACACGTAGATATTTTGGATTATATAATTTTGCCTGTAATAGAAAATACTAAGATTAATGCGTTTGTCGTCCAGCCAACGGTTAGACGGTCGGCCGCCGTCCTTCACAACTCGTCGTTGATCGTCGGATTAACGCTTCAAGTCCTCTTGCATAAGCGTGCACTGTACGCTGTTACCCGAATTCCACCGATAGCAATTTAAGGTGATTTCTCGATTTCCTACGCGCACGTTATATCAACATTATATTCCTGTATTCTCTTATCCCGATTATCGTTTATTTTTTTCCCGCTTCACGTTGCACATTTACTATCGGTATAGGTTTTCCAGTCGCCTCACTCTCGATCAATTCTTTTCAACGTAAAAATGTTTCTCGTGTAGAAAAATTTACCCTATTTTTATCGAAGTTAATATTTGATCGTTTAAATAATAATTCAGCGTACAATTTAAATTATAATTTTAGGAATACACTTTGCGCTCAAAATATAATAAAATAGTGCATATTTAAGTACTTTAAAATAATAATAAATAAACATACGTTGCGACGAAACTAAATTGATAAATTGCTATGCACACATCAATAGATCGTTGGTTGTGGTGCATAAAACATTGTTTCCCTGGTACTACTTTAAACTTATAAAACCCAATGTTATACAAAAATAAAAATACTGATAAATTACTAAGATTTTATAAATACTTTTGGAAAAGTTAAGAATGAATTGAAAAATTGATTGATCTAATTTCTTTTTTTAGCTTCCACAAAAAATGATTTTTCTAAATTTACATCAATTAATATGTCCCAATAAATCGAAAAAAATCAACTATATGCCAATCCACACAAAGCATTCAAAAATATTCTCTGTTCAACTTCATATTTTTAACACCAATGTTATGAAACAGATTTGTATATCACTTATCATGTTTTCCATGTAGCAAAAAAAAACATGCAAATTTATGAACCTACGAGCCCTGCGTATAACTTTGCAATCTATCTCAAACCGTTGGGAAGTCATTTATGTAAAACCTGGTCAACAATAAAAGGAAATTACAGATAACTTGATGTATGAGAGAAGAAAATCTGATGAACATTTTAAGATAGCTGGCGATGATTTAAAAGTTTTAGAAAAGAGATATAATGAAGAAATGTATTTTATTTATGAGAAACCAAATACACTATATATATATATATATATATATATTTATATATATACGTAAGAATTACGTATACATATATAGTAACAATTAGATACGTAACATTAAATACGTAACAATTAGAGTCGTTAGGACTAATAGAAAAAGCCGATACGGACATGAAAAATGTTCAACAGAAAAATTAATGAAAAACAACTGTTTGGTTGACTATGGGCTAGAAGAAAAGACAACATGAAAAAAAATGTATTGGATAGTTGAATGAAACAGTGGACTGAACTTTGGACGGTAAAACATTAAGATACTCACTAGTAACATAGCAGATTCTCAATGGACCGTTAATATGTTGAAGAATAAATTGGAACGAATATCAGAACTTACCTTTAGTATTATGAAAAAAATATTCCCCAGACATATTTGTTAGTTGTATATTTATGTTGTATTCATATATGTATGTGTGTACGTAATATTTTTTATATTTTTCAATAAAATTACTTATATATTATCGTTGATTTAGTAAAGCTTAAAATGTACGTAAGGTATTCGTGTAAAAAATTAGGCAATGTAAGATTTTTAAAATAAACAACTTACTTTGAAATATTCGAATAAAAATATTATTTATTTCTTTTCAAGTGGAAATATCCAAGTGAAATTTTCATTTTTCTCGTCTGGATGAATAGAGTATCACCTTTTTTTTTTCTTTTGAGGTCGTTGTGGGAATTTGTATTTTATAAAATAAAAAGTAGGTAAATACCGTATTCTTTCCGATCTTTCGTTCTTGAAGTTTTTCTCCTCTCGAAATGGTTAAAAAGTATTTCAATCAAGTTGAGCCTTTGTGCGAATTGTATACAGCTCTGTCGAAATTACAAAGTCTACTTAGATTTTTTTTTACATGCAAATATAAAACTTATGTCTATCAGGAGAATATCATTTTCGTAAATCACATGATTTGTGCCCAATCATGTGATATGTTAATAAGTTTTGGATTCATAATTAAGTGCATTGCATGTAATTATATTGCTAAGACTAGCTGTAATACAATAGGTATATTGCATCAACACAGATCGTTTTTCAGGGATCTAAAATATTATTATGGTCATCATTATCATTAACTAAATTTAATCGAAGAAATAAAATATAACTTTGAAAAATATGAATGGATGATTCTTATTATTTTAAAGAAAAATTGTATACATTTTTTTCGTATATAGTTTAAGGTTTTAATGCGTATAAATTTCATACATACATATTTTATCAACTGTTGATGCATTGTTGTATGCTTATTTATGCGTTTTTTAGTGCATGAACTTACGAACCTTGATTATGAATATAAAGTAAATTATGATTTTCGTCATAGTAGTTTCGATCCTAATCACTTAATTACTCTGAAACAACATTTATTTCCGTTTGATACCCATTCAATGGCGTATTTACGGGGGGGGTCCAGGGGTACTGGACCCTCCCCAGAACTTCTCCAAAAAATAAAAATTAACAACAATTCTTACATATTTGCAGAATTGGCTATGTTAAACATTCACAGGGAAGTTGAAATTACTGTTGATGAAGTGATAGAGGAGTTGGCCAAAAAATCAAGACAATTGGAATTTATTTTATAACAATACTTTATAATATATAATGCTAAATACAATATATAGGTACATATATTACATAAGACTATACGATTATTGCATTATATATTTAGTTCAACTTCCTCCAAAAACTGCATAAGGACGTAACTATTACAATATAATATATATTTTATATTAATTATGTATAAACTGTGGACCCCCCCCCCAGAAAAAATTGAAAATACGCCATTGTACCCATTATATTATTTCTTTCTTTATGCATGTTTTGATCATCATTTAACCTAAGTACTCGATACTGTCTATCTATTCAAAACTCACATTTTCTACTTTCTGGATTAACTGGTTTGCATTTCTTCTAAATAAGATTA